GATACCTTGCTCTGAGGATGTTCGTCATATGACGGACGAAAGCTTATCACCTTTTGACCGGAATCGAAGGAGATTGTCTCTTCAACAGCGCCGACATGAATGTTCCAGTAAAGCAAATCAACAGCTGGTCAAGAGGAATCCGCCGTCGTCTTCTGGTGGAATCGAACTTTGAATCTTTTCACCAAACACTTTCACTTAAAATGGAAATAAGCTCAACAATTGCGAAACAAGAGATTCCTCGAAGCCCAACTTTTCTTCGCATATTGTGTGTATATCCTAAGTCTATGCATTTTGCTGAGGCATACATTAATTTGACTATGGAATGACTTTTATTTCGTATCAAAGTGAATGATGAAGTGATTCGTTGGTTAATCTCACCGTTATCTCACCCTCTTCTTCCATTAAGATCAACCAACGCATCTCTTCAGCATGCACTTTCATACGAAAACCAATTGCTTCTGGTAATTTGGTTAGTTCAAATCATATGTTAATAGGGACAATCATGGTATACATTTTTACATCTCTTCTCAAATATTCCTCAGTTAAGTGTATTATTTATTAATCTGGTATTATTTTTGAACAAGCCTAGGCTAAAGGAAATTTAATGGCGTCCTGAGCCTTAGCTGGCTTATTATGGGAAAACCAAACTATCAGTGCCGAAAGCACCTTAGCAACCCGGGATGTAAAGTGTTTAATTAAGGCAGGCGAGTGAAGTTGATGCCACTCGTCTTGACTTGGTGGAGATATATTTTTTCGGAATTTCTATATAGCATTTTTGTTGACCAAGCTTGCTTCCATTTCGAGTGAAAATATGTAATGCCTGTCTGTGTGTGCGTGCGTGTGTGTCTGTATGACTAATTCCTTATTTAAGAATTATTTAGTCTTATAAACTACTCACATTGAAAATATTTCGAGGGAAAATATGTAATTCTTGTATGTGTGTGTGTGTGTGTCTGTTTGACTAATTCTTTATTTTAGAATTATTTAGTCTCATTACCTACTTACATTGAAAATGAGTACCAATTCATACGAGGCATCATTGAGCTCGCAAAAAGAGACACAAGTGTGGTATCAAAGACAATTCCATCTCGTGTCTAGTTTGTGTTGTATGTTCGGCTGCATCTAAAATTTTGCTTGTGCAGACACCTATGTGACCAGGTAGTGGAATTTTCCCACAATGCTATGAGTAGGCGTTACGTTTCCATTTAATTGCACACAGCTTTACTTTCTCACAGGTTATGCTCATCCAGGCAGGAATGGACTGCAATTTCGATCTCGCCTAAGTCTCAGCATCATTGTGGGAAAATTTAACTACCTTATTATCTTATTGCCCTCAACGCAATAGGGTGAATAGACCTCAAAGATATGCTTTACTGGTAGTCTCGGAAACCTTTTTATATACGAAAAGTAACTGAATACAGCTTCATAAATGCCTTGAAAACGATTTTTATTCGCCACTTACCTCCAGGCTCCCTACTTTTATTAAATAGAACGCACGTAGGCATAATGAATAGTCTATTTTTTCCCCTCTTCCCAAATATATCCCATTCCCTTCTAGTCTGATCTTATTTTCAGTCAAGCCTAGGCGTTAGCTATTCTTAAGTAATTTTAGTTCAAGTCTTTCTAACTCATTATTGCCAATTTCTCAATTAGCTAATATTATACCTCGAACAGGTATTATTTTTAATATACCAAACTTCGTTTCGTAACCATTGTTGGAGAGGAAGACAGAGATAAAGCCATCATGTACTTTCCAGACGGTAAACTATTTTATCTACAATCCCTTTTTCCATTAATAACAATAAATTATATAAGGCGAAATAATCATTTATAAATATTGATGACCTTTTCTGCGTCAATCTGTCCTTTTCCACGAGGCGTGCTTTCATGCTTTCTATTCCATGAAGTAGTGGGAGGCGACTTTTAGTCAATTCCAGGCTTGGTTCCAATCATGCTTCGATAACTTAATTTTCAGACGGCAAAGAGACTGCTCGGCCTGCAGAAGAGCAGCAATGCCCTCCGGCCAGACGACAAGTGACGCCATGGAGTGCTTGCAGCCAGTCCTGTGGTCTCGGCGTCTCGATGCGCACCAGCACAGACAACGTGGAATGTCGCAATCTGACGCATCTACGACTCTGCTACTGGCGGGAGTGCGACGAGGCGACAAGTGAAAAGGTGGATGACAATGTGCCAGAAATGATTTTTGCCTGAGATCAGCGTATATTCGCACTGTTCGAGCTGGTCAGCTCAACTGAATCATATACGAAGAAAAGATGGGTTTTGAGGGATCTCTTGTTTCATAATTGTTGAGCTTACTTCCATTTCGGGGAAAGTGTTAAAGTTGATCAAAGAGGCCAGATTTAAAGTGTATATACCACTTTTTAGGGATTTTTCGGTGAGTTTTCTTGATTCGTTTGCTTGAATTTTGTTGTGAAGATGTTACCTTGCTCTCATGATGTCCGTCATTTGAAGGACGAAAGCTAAGCACCTTTTCACCGGAATCGAACGTGATTGCCTCGGAAACAGCGTCAGCATGAATCTTCTAGTAAAGCCAGTCGACAGCTGGTCAAGAGGAATCCACCGTCGTTTTCTGGTGGAACCGACCTTCGAATCTCTTCACGCAACACTTCCACTAGAAATGGAAGTAAGCTCAACAATTATAAAACAAGACATTCTTCGAAACCCAACTTTTCTTCGCATTTATTCCGAATCTCTATATACAGTCTCATCAACCAACTCACACAATCGTAAATGGCCCAAGCGGACAAAAGTTTATGCTCAAGATTTGAGGATAGTTTTGAGGCATAGTTACTGTCAAGAAGAGAAGAATTATGACATGATTTTACATCTCAAAGAAAAGGTTATTTGGAAGGAATTAGTGAAATACTGCCTTAATTTCAGATCTGAAAGTAGTTTCGAAACCGAATACTCTGATTAATGTCATCCCCGAGGCAGTTTATTTGACATCTTATGAAGACATGTTGATTTTTCATCTTTCGTGTGACAGGCAATTGCAGAATAACGTAATTAATGGACTTAACTCAAGATAACGAATTTATATGATTTCATTGCTTACAACAGGTCTAGTACTGAAATTGTTGATCTTACTTGCATTTCGAGTGAAAGTGATTGGTGAAGAGATTCCAAAGTCGATTCCACCAGAATACTACAGCGGATTCTTTTGACCAGCCATCGATTGGCTTCACTGGATGATTCATGCTAAAGCTGTCTCCGAGGCAATCTCCTTCGATTCCGGTGCAAAGGTGCTAAGCTTTCGTCCGTCAAATGATGAACATCATCAGAGCAAGGTATCATCATAACAACCAAATTCAAGCGAACGAATCAAAAAGACTCACCGGGAAATCCTAATTACTTTGAACCATCACTTCGGGTTTTGTGCATAAGGGAACACAAACAGGCACATACAAATACAGACAGAGACAAACACACACACTTGTATCGAAGTGGAAATATAACCTCAACTACCCAAATCACTTTTTACTTGATCAAAGAGGCAAGATTTAGAGTACATATACCAATTTTTAGAGATTTGCCGGTGAGTTTTCTTGACTCGTTAGCTTGAATTTGGTTGTGACGACGTTACCTCGCTCTGATGATGTCCGTCATATGACGGACGAAAGCTTAGCAGCTTTTCTCCGGAATCGAAGGAGATTGCCTCGGAAACAGCGTCAGCATGAATATCCCACTAAAGTCAATCGACTGCTGGTGAAGAGGAATCCGCCGTCATAATTTGGTAAAACCGACCTTCGAATCTCTTCACGCAACACTTTCACTCGAAATGGAAGTAAGTTCGACAACTGAATCTAGCAAAACCGGACAAAAACTGTTTAGTCAAGATTACAAACTAAGCCTTAACTAGTTCTGGGAAGAGCAAGTTCCGAGTCAGCGAGTCCCAAGAGTTTCAAGTTCACTCATTCCATATAGACTGATGCCGTCAATTGAGCGGCGAGCAACATAATCGTGGGCAAAAAGCAACAACGGTACCATTCCAGTTTCTGTGGGTCGCAGGGAAGAAGCGATTATCAGTCTTTGCCTCACCATAAAGAATATAGACTGACCTCATCTTC